GCACGAATTGTCGGTAATACATTTGTTGCCATATGCAGCCACCGTCGCAGCCGGTGTTGTTGCACGGTTGAAACAACTTAGCACTTGTGCTTATTGCCATGCCATATTGTTGTTCTTCTATGCCAGGGGCAGACAAGAAGTCAGGCGAAGAGCAATCATGGCGATTGCCCGTGGCTTCCTTTTTGCGCTCGCCTGACGGCATATCATCGGCGTCCTACTACTTATACCAGAGCGTTTCCCTTAGAAGAAACCCAAAAGGGTTTCCAATAGGCGTAGTTCACGTTTGAACAGCAACTCCGTTTGGGGGGGGGGGGGGGATATTTACTTTGCCGTACGTAAATGGCCACTATTCGAACCCACTCTAAAGACTCACACCAGTAAAACAAGTAGCCGAACGGATACGAGAATCTTACTGGGAGCCATGCGCGTCATGAAAATGGCTGCTGTAGAACGAAGTCTGGCATCTGGTCTGTCGGCCCCTGGCCGTCTCTACGTTCTTGTTGGCTATCGTGAGACGAGAATATAAGCACGGTTTGAAACTAAACTGATAATGCTATGTCGAATTAGGCTTCGGAGTGGAAATGGGAAAATGCTGCTCTAGTGGGCTGAACACAACCACTGGACATTAACATGCCAACTGACAGCTACAGAAAATAGAACACACTTAAACAGACGTGGTAAATGAATGGCTTGCAGCTTGCACGAAAAGGTGGTAAGGCAAGATGCGCCAGTGTCTAGGACAGTGTATTTGGATAAAGCCTGCTGTGTAAAAAATCGTCTCCACATTTCTCCATCTCTCCGCCTATTTTTTAACCCCCCCCCCCTCCCCGCACTTGCCAGTCCTTTCACACTTTCCACTTTTTTCCCTATAGGCCACAAGCGTTGAGAACCTCGCGCATACTCTGGCGTAACAGAAATCATTGGCCTTCTACGCATTGCATCAGTTGAGACACAGCGAAGCCACCTGCACCATTGCCGCCGTATACACTTTGCTTCTGTCACGATATCGTTGGCTGCGACTGGAGATCTGGTGTGTGCTTCCAGGCCTTTCTCGCTTCATTCTTCTTCGTTTTCAGCCTATTATGCTTTGTGCATCCGATCGATGCGGCTCAGCGGGAGTGACAGGCATTCGCCGAAATCGCGCAGTCGTTTGACCATCTACTTTTCGTATATATAATGTTCTGCTACTGCCACTGCTTACCAGTGCCCCTGCAGTGAATACTTTATACTGCCATGTTGGTGGCCGGAACCGCATGGCGTGTTGCAGTCCACTGGCTGTTCTTTCTTTCCTTTTTTTTTTCTCTGTAGTAAATAGCGCACAAGCACACGCAGAAGCAGATGGAAACCGGTGGTGAATCGGCTGTGTGATATGGCGTCCGGTTTCTCATGGCAACCCAACTGTGGACTGATGGGTCACTTTCTATAGACATGGCAAAATCTCGCAAACGGCCTTGCAGCGACGGTCAGGATGGATGTTCGCGAGGTCTACGTAGACTGTGATAGCCCTGCAGGCTAGAAGAGCCAGTCGGGCTCAGTTTGGCTAGAACGGCGGAGATTGTCCCGTCTACCCCGGTTGCCCCAGACAAACGGCAGCAGCATGCGGCACCTCGCTACAAGCTGTTGTTGCCCGACAACAATTGCAATCCATTTCTGTGAAGGATTAGGGGACCATAGTTGTACCATCAGGAAAAGACATGAGGGTAGGTATAGCTAAGGCTTTACAGAGTAGTCACCGTGGTGCCTGAAACTAGCACCATTGAGGTTTACCTTCCTATGCTTAACAGCGTAGGACGACCAGTTTAAGGTTGCGTGCAAGCACGGTGCATAGAGGTATATCCAAAGAAGTATATAGGCGTGTCTGTCCCGTTCAGGTTAGTGTTGCGACGAGACAATTAGACAGAGAAAGAAAGATATAGAGAAAGATAAAGGCGGAAGGGTAGATATAGGGAACGACGTTCAAGAACGGGTGACAAGCCCGAGAAAGATAGATAGCACTGCACTACTCTTATTGATTAATTCACTATTGAAAAAATTGGATATCTATAATTAAGCCTAAAAAGCGGCACCAAGCTAGGATTTAAAGCTTAGAGCTGCTGCAGGCTGAAACCCGAAGGCTCAGAATCGCAACAGCCGCGGCAGAAAAAAGCTGGATAATTTATAACTGATCTCATAGGCAAAAAACATCATACCTTCAACAAACGTCCCCGGGAACTTCATGTTTAATCGTCACCGGTCTTCCTCCCAACAACTACTACTGATATTTACCCTTCTGCCGTTACTAGTACGCAGATAATTAAGTCTGTGTTAAATAATAATATACGGAGTCAGCCAGAAGCGAATATAAATTTCAAAGATATGTGACGTAGCGCCGATTTTGCATGAAATGAAGCGATATTCTCCAAAATCGTTTTCAAGCATGGACAAATTCGAATCCAGCTACCCCGTTTGTGGGCTTACGCAGGTTATCTTACGGTATGTTCGCGATCACAATAGAGAGGCCAGGCCTGTTCAGCCAGAAGCCCGCGATCTAACCAATGCATGAGGATATTTCCCAATGGGAGGTTGAACTACCCCCGTACTCTGTGGAGTTGCTCCCGTGCTTTGTTAATTGATAAATTTCAAGCTGCAAGGGGTTTGTTTGTTGGTCTAGACAACAGCGTTTTAATAATCCAGATGCGTACGCTTGCGCAAACAAATAAAGCTACCATTTTCTATCCCCACATTCTCATGTTACCGATTTGTTAGAAGAGCAAAGTAATACCACTCATTGCCCCATCTGACCACTTATATATAGACTATATTATTTGCAAGATATAAATATATATTGTTGAAGCTATATATGTAAACTTCGGTAAAGCGAATATAGAAAATAACTTTCTTTATTTAGACAAATTCTATCATAGAAGAGCTATGATGGTTTAGAACAAAATCTCTGAAATGTTCACTTTAGAAACCATCGTATTTCTTTTTTCAAAACTATTTTCATTAATAAGTGAAGCCTTTTGCCCAAGGATTGCTTAAATGTTTCCTGCCTCATTGAGCTGCCGAACTCCATTCACAGTTCCCCCTAAGTATCTCACTCTGTGACGCCTATTCTCACAGTTGAAAGTTAGGTAACAAGCAAAGGCGTCGAATAATTAAGCTCTGAGAATCTTTTCAAGCCAATTCTGTATCAAATTGCCAGTCCCATTTAATTATCGTCTTATTTTCAGGGACTGATGAGGAGTAGCACGATACAATTATGCGCGTCGCTTTCCATCGTTGTGATCGGATAGTAGACTCACTATAAAGGATTACAATGCTGGACAGACAAAGATAATCAGGAAAGATATACGCTTGTACATGAACGCTATTTAATAGTGTCAGATTGGTCTTAAGTGGAATATGCATATAAGGAACCATATAATTTAGCTGCTTGTCCTACCTCACGGAACAGCTGCTGGTAGGAACTCTCTGTGCATGTACTGCAAAGAAGCTTCTCCGCTTTCCTAAGTGAACGCTTTAGACATTTCTAGCTTCAACAGATAAACCTGTGAATCAAGAACGTAACCACTGTTTCTAGTCGCTAACCTCTCCTGTGAATAACCAGAAAGCGTCCCTATTAACGAGGATCCGTTGCGTACACTGGCCGACTACGTAGATTGTATGGCGTTCGGTGGCCAGGCATAGAGATTGCTCATAAATCAATGCAATATAGGTAGGTGACGTACAATCTGGACTACGGCGTCATGCAACCTATAGAACGTAGCTGGTTTCTGCGTGGCGTCTGTGGGAACAGACAGAACTGCCTACCTTCTGCCAGCCCAACTTTGGCCCTTTGAATCCTTAATTAATCTGCACAACTCGTCGTGAACGTGTGTATGCCTAGCAGAAGTCTGAACCATAAACCTTTATGTACAATAGATTCAGTAGGTCGCACATGGTATGAAACACATCTTAACCCGTAGGTTTGGTCGTCATGAATGTTTCGTCATTGAATCCTGCGTAAACAATTGCTCTAATATCAATCAGGCTGCCAGTCCTGGCATTATTACTGTAGTGGTGCTCTGTCGATTGACCCACGACTTCAGATTCACGTTAGAAATTGCTGTTTGCAATCTCCTTCTACGAAAAAGATTAATCATTACTTTGGCATCTGCTATCGCACAACAACTCGCTGTCAGGAAATGGTTATGATGCGTAAGGTATCTTCGACTGCCCAAGTAAGCTGTGCTACCTTTAAGTGCGCCTTACTTTTCAAACTCTTCCAGCTAAACGGCGGATCCTGAACACGCGTTTCGACTCTTAAATCTGGTTCGACTGACCTAGTCGAGCACTACTTTAGATGGCTTTTTGCAACGCGAAAATACTGTGTCGTACGCCCGGTTTCACACCCTCACTATATGTTCCTAAGTTTACTAGGCAAACGCCGTTAGCAGTGCACCATCGTATGGAGACGAGTCGCGCAGATGGATTGCATCAACGCAACCCTAAAATGTTGCTGACCAGTCTGAATTCACAAAAGAGAACAAATACCTTGTTCAAGTTAAACTCAGTTCCGAAAACTTCATTGCGAACCGTATGTTGGTAACACGAGTAGTAGTTCTCAACCGTGTTATTGCGACATCGAACATCTAAAGCATTAGCTTAGTACCTGAGGAAAAATACGGAACATTGTTTAATGTTCACACACCGCTACGCGCAGTGTTTTCGCTGCGCGTCCCGTATGACGAAACTGGGCTTGTTGTTGTTGTTGTCGTTGTTGTTGTTGTCGTCGTCGTCATCGTCGTCGCGTCGTCGTCGTCGTCGTCGTCGTCGTCGTCGCGTCGTCGTCGTCGTCGTCGTCGCGTCGTCGTCGTCGTCGTCGTCGTCGTCGTCGCGTCGTCGTCGTCGTCGTCGTCGCGTCGTCGTTGTCGTCGTCGTCGTCGCGTCGTCGTCGTCGTCGTCGTCGTCGTCGCGTCGTCGTCGTCGTCGTCGTCGTCGTCGTCGTCGCCGTCGTCGTCGTCGTCGTCGTCGTCGTCGTCGTCGCCGTCGTCGTCGTCGTCGTCGTCGTCGTCATCGTCGTCGTCGTCGTCGCTAGCCGCGATTGTTGCACAAATCTTTTGGCAGGAATAAGACCACCCGTAAACCATCCATCTACCATCGCAAATAATAATCATAGTCCCTTCTGTAGGCGGTGGCAAGTATCCGTGATGGCCATAACGGTAGATGCAGTTGCATTGTGGGACTGTGTCGGGTAACGATGGCGGCAGAGATGCGGTCACGCATCTGACGCACGGTGTCGCGACTGGTGGTAACCCGAGGTAAAGCTATTATTCAAATGGGATTCAACGAGCAAGTGATTAATTTATCCGTGCCGAATCCATCATAGTAGCGGAGCATAGAAAGAAAAAAGTTTTTCTCTGTTAATTTTTCAAGATGCTTATTTATTGAAGCTAACCTAATACTCAGCAGAGCCGTTGCAGTCGAGGAAGCCCACAGCGCTGCAACTAACGTATACGCATGTAGTAGGAGCCATTGTCTTCGCTTCGAAGAAGTGATCATAAGACATAGTGGTATCTTCTTTAACAAACACTCGCCCAAGCCATCCGTGGTCGATGGTCGGCTGAAGCAAAGCCTTCAATCATGGTGTTCTATATGCTTAGGCATCAAGCACAGACGTCAACATGTTATCTGGTGCGTGTCAGGCTACTTTAGTATTGAACATTTGTCACTCTTCCTGTTTTTTCTGCGTCACTTGTTCTATATACATCGAAAATACACGCGTCGGCGAATCATTTTGAAGCGACCCATCTATATGATGTTAGGAATCTACAACGAGCGGGGTCCTTCGAGTTGAATGGTTAATCAACAGCTTTTACCGGTCGAACACAGCCCGCCGTTATATTTTGTTTATGCGTTACATTATTGACAGAATGCTACGTCGCTTTGCCACGTCTCAGATCATTTTTGACCATTAGAAACAAAACAATAAGTGATCTTCTTAGAGAATATTTTAACGTTATGGCAGTGAATGCGCGGGCGCGACAGAGGCAAATGTCTAATTGTGAATATTCCCTGCCAGTGAACATTATATAGCTGCTCAAATTTAGCAAAACACATAAAATTAGATAGAAAAAAATTGTTAGAGCGGTAAAAATTCGCACTTCTTTCGGTACAAAGAAGATATTCTTTAGAAATTAATAAATAACACGTTGATCGATAAATTCGACTTATGGTCAAATGAACAGTGTTTTGGCTCAGGGTCGAATTAAATTGTGTCCTTCAATCCTCTTCCCCTCTTCTATTTTTCAGGACCAAATGCCGCAGGTGCCTATATTTGTCTTGAACGACGGCCGTCAATAGAGTGTAATATTATATTCATACGAATTGTACAGTACATTTGAATTGATCAGTCGTTACTTATATTACGATAGAAAAAAACCGAGACCCTCCATAAATTATTTAATTTTGAAAATTGTGACAAGCATTTTCATCTACAGAGTTCCGTTTGCGTCTCGAAATCCTTAAAGATTACACTGTAGAGATATAGTCTTTATACTAGCTAACAATCGGAACCACATAATTCTCAGTGTGACCCAATACGCTCCTAACATTAGGCACGATGCTAGACACAATATATATATATATCTTGAACTCCTTATTTCCAAATGGTCATGGTTGTTCATAGTTACAGCTCAGGCGTTCGCACATTCAATACTATCCCACGCCCGAAAGTGTCCAGGGTGACGTGTTATTTGCCCCCGTTACCTGCTGGCAGGTTGATCGAGCCTCAGTCCTGCTACCATAAATTGGATGAGATCATGAACAATTAGCGCCCGCATGTTTACCTCTAGAGGTCCATATACGGACGTCTACACACACACATGTATAGATTTAAGCACACAAAACATCGTACTGGTGGGCTTACACCATGATCAGACCCAAGCATTCGTCTATTAAGATTAACGCTCGAATCTTAGAGGCGCAGTCCATATGGGATTATGCACTGTTTCAAACTAAGCGGTGATACTCAAAGTAGATCAGTATCACTCTCACGGAAACTGCCATGGCATCTCCCATCCATTTTATTGTCTATTTATTATTCATCCTTAAACTGAAAGCACAGCAAGCGTTCACAACATCAAGAGTGGTCACAACGATGCCCGCCCGAAGACCCGGAGTAGAAACATGAGGACTGCGGCATCATCAGGCCGCCTTTTCAAGCAAGCCGAATAGACTGGAGAATGCTTGGAGGCTGCTTAAGGACTGCTTGTAGACGCTTTTAGGAAAAAAGTCTACGTTATGTCAAACAGGACTGACTCAGGAGGGGAGGGCCTTCTTTACGATGAAGTTGGCCGGGCTATAATCTGGCGTGTCCGTTCCGTAGAACAAGCTTGTATAGCTTCACTTGCCTTTTTCTTGCTAGCAGCATTAAAACAGCTCGCTGAGACAACCACGTCTTTTCAGACGGTTTTCACCTGAAGAAAGTGGCGGCTGGCGGCAGCAGCAGGAGCAGGAATAGGAATTTCAGCTCTGACACGACAGCAATTGCCGTTAGCGTGCTAGTTCATTCATGTACTTAAGACGAATGGCGCGTTTCTAAGCAGCAAATCCTTCAGGGGTACAGAACGACCGACACACCTCATATATAGATGTGGGTGCCTGAGGGCAGGTGATTACACAACGATACATAAAGATTTCGTACACAAGTATGGCGGTATGGCCAAGCAGCATAAGGCTCCCTAAAAATCCTTCTTTGAACACTTATTTACTACCAGAAAGGCAGAGGTAATCGAAGTCACGTCATCGTAGCTGGGGTAACACGAAACAGCATCGGCCGATGTGAGCGGGCAAAAGCGGGTTTCGAGGGCGCCATTCGTATTAGAACCTGAGATCTGCTTTTCTCAAAATACTGAACTGTGACGCTGTTATTGCAGCGTCAAGCGAAGAGCAGCATTAGCTGCTGCTCTTCTATGCTCCATTATAGCTATTGCGTTGCTTTACGAGGGACGATTGCCCCTTTCCACCAGCAGGTTCTAAGATGAGATTAAGTGGCCATTGAAATGAAGGTTTCGAAGATCGCTTACATAGTTGTATCGCTGGAGAACATCTATACGAGTATGTATGGGGCGTTGTGTCGCCGAATTGAGTTAATCTGTGATCTGCTAGGTGGCGAAAAAGAAATGGGCAAAGGGAAAATGTTCGCACTGTCGTAACCTTAAAAACAACAGGAAGGAATATAGATAACGTTGCTATGTTGGGAGAAAATCCAGCATGGCGACGGTAGCTTCCTGGTCCTTAGACAAGCTGGTAAGAGATGCTGGATGGTTACGCCGTATACTCCTATAGATTTGCGCAGAAAATTGAGGCATGTTTCAAATGATCATCAGGCGCGCACATATTCCTGTATGAGAAAAGAGAAAGAACGAGCATCGACAGTTTTTACTCTATAGTTTTATACTGATTTTTAATGTTCATTCGTTAGTTACAACAGTGTAAAGTGCAGCCCCATAGACGGGTCTGCTAATAGATTCGAATTATGTTACTGGAACCTCTGTTTCGTTCTGTTCTGGAACGAATATAATTGCAGCTCTGGGTCATTTTCGGAAATCTGTTTGTCCCCTTGGACGTAGCACCAAAAAAATAAACGTTTTTTAAGGTGTATCGTCAATCTACATTTCGACTGAAACAGCATCTATTTACTTGTTCAAATTAATAAGATGTACATTTTGATCTAATTAAAGTTCTGTCTAAAGGTGCTCGAGTGACCTCCTTCGGATTCGTTATCTCTCTTACGGAACGCAGAAGATTTCTCTATTGTGATAGGCTCGTGTATCCTTATAGTCATTGCTCTTGGTTATTCAAAAGTTCGTAATGTAAATAATAATAAGTCGAAAGAAAAAGAGGGTAAGAAAACAAAGTTAAATCAAAGGTTTCGAGCCACAGACCTCAATCTACGAAACTGACGCATCAAAACTCTACGAATTGATAATAAAATAAAGTAGGTAGGATTTTTAAGTTGATCCGTGTGTGTCGCTTGGGCTAACAACATGAAACCCGCTAGAGTTATTAAAATGTACTTGATTGAGAATCTTGCACAACCCTCTAGTTTTAGTACACAACTACTGGGCAAGATTAGTTTTTTTTTTTCTTTTTTTTTTTTCATAGAAGCTGGGGATTTTTTTGAATTTTACTAGTGATATCTAGAGTTTAGTACTGCTTTAGAAAAAAAAAAAATGTTCCGCGTTGTATGGCAAAATTATGGTGGCGTTGCACCACAGTGTTAATTTTTAGCAGGAAAGAATTGTTTTTTCAATGATTTTTTTCTCACTATTCACCATAATCATCGCAAACGTATTAAAAATGGAAACCTGCGTATGTATGTATATATATATATATATATATAGAGCTAATGAAGTAAGGTCACAGACACAGATCTGAGACAAAATCACACTCAAACTAAACATACGCATGCAGCTCTTCTATTATGTGAAACCGCCCTTCTGATCGGATCACATGTGACAACACTGTTGCTGAAAAAGCGTTTATAAACTGAATTGGAAAGGAAGGCTTTTATTAAGGGTATTATTAAATCCCTCTGTTTTTAGCTGCTGCAATTCAACTTGGCGTGCTCATAATGCATTTATGCACGACCTCTATTATTGGTGTGGGGCCTCTATTTAAGGGCCGCAAGCTGCTGTGATCTTCTGTCCGACCGTGATTCGTCCTTTGAAATAATGCCATACGTTTTCGATCATAATGAAATTGGCTCAATTTCCAGGACACTTCCAAGACCATTAGCGGTAAACACCGACGATTGATCATACATATATGCATACTTTCCACTTGGGAACCATTCTTGTATTGGGAGCAATATTTTCGTCAACGTTTTTTCACTGCATTTGCGTTTTCTCATAGTCCCGTTAACGACACAGAGTTCCTGTAGCACAACGCCCGTACTAACGTTTGACTTGTCCCGCCGATATGTACCAAACTCGTAGACGTTTTTGACTTGAGCGTTCCCGCTCGAGATGCGATTATTCAATCCATTTGAACCACGCGTGTTCGTACCAATGGTTTAGCAAAATGGTTTAGTTTACGATAATTAAAATCAGACATTTTGACGTCCTGTCGGAAAGTTTTTGTGGACATAGTGACTCTACGCGTCGCCACCGTTCAGCCCAACTGAGGAGCCGTTAAAGATCTGTTGGAACAATCCTGTCCTGTCGCTGCGCTGTGCGCCGTTTTTAAATTACAACAAAGGCACCTTATCTTTTGTCTTTCTGGGCTACGTTCTAGACTGCACACACAGACCCATTCCCCCACT